TAGGTGTGTTGATAGTTGCTAGGTGTGTTGATAGTTGCTAGGCGTGTTAATAGTTGCTAGGTGTGTTAATAGTTGCTAGGTCTGTTGATAGTTGCTAGGTGTGTTGATAGTTGCTAGGCGTGCTGATAGTTGCTAGGCGTGTTGATAGTTGCTAGGTATGTTGATAGTTGCTAGGCGTGTTGATAGTTGCTAGGCGTGTTGATAGTTGATAGGCGTGTTGATAGTTGCTAGGTGTGTTGATAGTTGCTAGGTGTGTTGATAGTTGCTAGGCGTGTTAATAGTTGCTAGGCGTGCTAATAGTTGCTAGGCGTGCTAACAGTTGCTAGGCGTGCTAATAGTTGCTAGGCGTGCTAATAGTTGCTAGATGTGCTAACAGTTGCTAGGCTTGCTAATAGTTGATAGGCGTGCTAATAGTTGCTAGCCGTGCTAACAGTTTCTAGCCGTGTTTATAGTTGCTAGGCGTGCTAATAGTTGCTAGCCGTGCTAACAGTTGCTAGCCGTGTTTATAGTTGCTAGGCGTGCTAATAGTTGCTAGCCGTGTTTATAGTTGCTAGGCGTGCTAATAGTTGCTAGGCGTGCTAACAGTTGCTAGCCGTGCTTATAGTTGCTAGGCGTGTAAATAGTTGCTAGGCGAGCTAACAGTTCCTAGCCGTGTTTATAGTTGCTAGCCGTGCTAATAGTTGCTAAGCGTACTTATAGTTGCTAGCCGTGTTGATAGTTGCTAGGTGTACTAACAGTTCCTAGCCGTGTTTATAGTTGCTAGGCGTGCTAATAGTTGCTATGCGTGCTTATAGTTGCTAGCCGTGTTGATAGTTGCTAGGTGTGCTAACAGTTCGTAGCCGTGTTTATAGTTGCTAGCCGTGCTAATAGTTGCTAGGCATGCTAATAGTTGCTAGGTGTGCTAATAAATGCTAGGCGTGATAATAGTTGCTAGGCGTGCTAATAGTTGCTAGGTGTGCTAATAGTTGCTAGGTGTGCTAATAGTTGCTAGGCGTGCTTATAGTTGCTAGGCGTGTTAATAGTTGCTAGGCGTGCTAATAGTTGCTAGGTGTGCTAATAGTTGCTACGCGTGCTAACAGTTGCTAGGTGTGCTAATAGTTGCTAGGCGTGCTAATAGTTGCTAGGCGTGCTTATAGTTGCTAGGCATGCTAACAGTATCTAGCCGTGCTAACAGTTGCTAGCCGTGCTAACAGTTGCTAGGCGTGCTAATAGTCTAGGCGTGCTAACAGTTGCTAGCCGTCTTTATAGTTGCTAGGCGTGCTTATAGTTACTAGGCGTGCTAATAGTTGCTAGCCATGCTAACAGTTGCTAGATGTGTTTATAGTTGCTAGGCGTGCTAATAGTTGCTAGGCGTGCTAATAGTTGCTAGGCGTGCTAATAGTTTCTAGCCGTGCTAACATTTGCTAGCCGTGTTTATAGTTGCTAGGCGTGCTAATAGTTGCTAGGCGTGCTAACAGTTGCTAGCCGTGTTTATAGTTGCTAGGCGTGCTAATAGTTGATAGGCGTGCTAATAGTTGCTAGCCGTGCTAACAGTTTCTAGCCGTTTTTATAGTTGCTAGGCGTGCTAATAGTTGCTAGCCGTGCTAACAGTTGCTAGCCGTGTTTATAGTTGATAGGCGTGCTAATAGTTGCTAGGCGTGCTAATAGTTGCTAGGCGTGCTAACAGTTGCTAGCCGTGCTTATAGTTGCTAGGCGTGTAAATAGTTGCTAGGCGAGCTAACAGTTCCTAGCCGTGTTTATAGTTGCTAGCCGTGCTAATAGTTGCTAAGCGTATTTATAGTTGCTAGCCGTGTTGATAGTTGCTAGGTGTACTAACAGTTCCTAGCCGTGTTTATAGTTGCTAGGCGTGCTAATAGTTGCTATGCGTGCTTAAAGTTGCTAGCCGTGTTGATAGTTGCTAGGTGTGCTAAAAATTCTTAGCCGTGTTTATAGTTGCTAGCCGTGCTAATAGTTGCTAGGCATGCTAATAATTGCTAGGTGTGCTAATAGTTGCTAGGCGTGCTAATAGTTGCTTGGCGTGCTAATAGTTGCTAGGTTGGGCTAATAGTTGATAGGTGTGCTAATAGTTGCTAGGCGTGCTTATAGTTGCTAGGCGTGTTAATAGTTGCTAGGCGTGCTAATAGTTGCTAGGTGTGCTAATAGTTGCTAGGCGTGCTAACAGTTGCTAGGTGTGCTAATAGTTGCTAGGCCTGCTAATAGTATCTAGGCGTGCTTATAGTTGCTAGGCATGCTAACAGTTGCTAGCCGTGCTAACAGTTGCTAGCCGTGCTAACAGTTGCTAGGCGTGCTAATAGCTTCTAGCCGTGCTAACATTTGCTAGCCGTGTTTATAGTTGCTAGGCGTGCTAATAGTTGCTAGGCGTGCTTACAGTTGCTAGCCGTGTTTATAGTTGCAAGGCGTGCTAATAGTTGCTAGGCGTGCTAATAGTTGCTAGCCGTGCTAACAGTTTCTAGCCGTTTTTATAGTTGCTAGGCGTGCTAATAGTTGCTAGCCGTGCTAACAGTTGCTAGCCGTGTTTATAGTTGATAGGCGTGCTAATAGTTGCTAGCCGTGCTAACAGTTGCTAGCCGTGTTTATAGTTGCTAGGCGTGCTAATAGTTGCTAGCCGTGCTAACAGTTGCTAGCCGTGTTTATAGTTGATAGGCGTGCTAATAGTTGCTAGCCGTGCTAACAGTTGCTAGCCGTGTTTATAGTTGCTAGGCGTGCTAATAGTTGCTAGCCGTGCTTATAGTTGCTAGACGTGCTAATAGTTGCTAGCCGTGGTTATAGTTGCTAGGCGTGCTAATAGTTGCTAGGCGTGCTAATAGTTGCTAGCCGTGCTAACAATTGCTAGCCGTGTTTATAGTTGATAGGCGTGCTAATAGTTGATGGGCGTGCTAATAGTTGCTAGCCGTGCTAACAGTTGCTAGCCGTGTTTATAGTTGCTAGGCGAGCTAATAGTTGCTAGGCGTGCTAACAGTTGCTAGGCGTGCTAATAGTTGCTAGTCGTGCTAATAGTTGCTAGGCGTGCTAATAGTTGCTAGGCGTGCTAATAGTTGCGAGCCGTGCTAATAGTTGCTAGCCGTGCTAACAGTTGCTAGCCGTGTTTATAGTTGCTAGGCGTGCTAATAGTTGCTAGCCGTGTTTATAGTTGCTAGGCGTGCTAATAGTTGCTAGCCGTGTTTATAGTTGCTAGGCGTGCTAATAGTTGCTAGGCGTGCTAATAGTTGCTAGCCGTGTTTATAGTTGCTAGCCGTGCTAACAGTTGCTAGCCGTGTTTATAGTTGCTAGCCGTGCTAATAGTTGCTAGGCGTGCTAACAGTTGCTAGGCGTGCTAATAGTTGCTAGGCGTGCTAATAGTTGCTAGGCGTGCTAACAGTTGCTAGGCGTGTTAATAGTTGCTAGGCGTGCTAATAGTTGCTAGCCGTGCTAACAGTTGCTAGCCGTGTTTATAGTTGCTAGGCGTGTTTATAGTTGCTAGCCGTGCTAACAGTTGCTAGCCGTGTTTATAGTTGATAGGCGTGCTAATAGTTGCTAGGCGTGCTAATAGTTGCTAGCCGTGTTTATAGTTGCTAGGCGTGCTAATAGTTACTAGCCGTG